GCCGGGCGTGGTAGCGCGCACCTGTAGTTCCAGCTACTCGGAAGGCTGAAGCAGAAGGATTGCTGGAGCCCAGTGGGTCGAGGCTGCGGTGGCTGGGAGTGTGCCACTGCCCTCCAGCTTGGGTGATAGAGTGAGACTCCAACTAAAAAAAAAAAGCTCTGTGTCAAAGTAAAGAGCTGTGCTGGTGATGGCATTTCATTGTTCTCTCATTCCTTAAGAAGTTGGGGTCATCTTCCACTTGGAAGATGACCCCAACTTACTTTCTCCTCAGACCAATCTACTTTAGAAAAAAGAAAAAAGGAAAGGAAATAAGTCATCTATATGGCACTATGGTATTTAGTCATGGCTTTGGAAATTCTTAGGTCTTGTGAAACTGCGGAGGTTTTAAAGGACATTGCATGTTCCAATACACCCTGATAAGCAAAGATGCAGTTTACAGAGGGGAGTCCTCAAAACCACACCCTGTCCTGCTTTCAGTAACTCCGAGGAGAAATCCAAGACTGGTGGCATTCGAATCTTTAGGAGGTGTGTCTTCCTCGTGGTCTGGCTCTAAAGGTGTAGACCAAGCTCTCCCGGGGCTTCTCATGGGACTGACACATGCTGGTCAAAAGAATCGGGTCAGTTTTGTGCTCTACAACGTTGAAGGGACAGGCCTTCAGGTGCTCCGACATGGAGGTGACGTCGTTAAACTCCCAGCTCTTGATTTTGGAGAAGAGGCTGCTGAACTGCCAGATCTGTTGAGAAAAATAGAAACTCAACCAGGTTCAGTGGCGTAAGCCTGTAATCCCAGCACATTGGGAGGCGGAAGCAAGAGGATTGCCTGAGCTCAGGCTGGTGTAGAACACCAGCCTAAGCAACATGGTGAGATCTTGTCTCTACAATAAATAAATAGATAGACAGATAGATAGATAAAATGAGCTGGGCGTGGTGGCACATGCCTGTGGTTCCAGCTACTTGGAAGGACGAGGTGAAAGGATCACCTGAGTTCAGCAGGTGGAGGCTGCAGTGGCCATGAGTGCACCACTGCACTTCAACCTGGGCAACAGAGTGAGACACCGACTGAAAAAAAAAGAGCAACAACAAAAAAAGAAAACTAGAAACTCAAAGGTAAACACAGAGCATTACCCTCAGGCTGGCCTTTTTTGACCAGTATGAGGAAATGCCTTTCTGTTCTTGGCCTCCAGAGTTTTTATGGTGGCTGCAGACATTTGTTAGTTCCTTCCCCAGCATCCAAGTCCTAGTTCCCCCTTCCAACTAATAATCTTCCCAGCCAGCCATGCAGTTGTGTGGGAATGACTTACACCAGTCAGCATACTGACACATACCTTCCCCTGCTCCCTGACCAGCAAGTGATCAGTTTTCACGTAGGCACACAGTTAAAATCAGAGCAGTTAGTACCAATGTGTCTCTACTCCAGAATGTTTGTTTGAGATAGCAAAAAGCAGATTCTCTTTTTCCTTCTGTACTTAAACTAGGAAGCTGCAGTCCTGGGAGCTGTCAGAAGCCACCAGGGACCACCAAGTAAAAGCTATCTTACAATGGAGTCATTAATGAGGAAGTAGAGGTAAGAAATAGAAAAAAGACCATTTTGGGGGGCATTTTTTTTTTTGAGTTGCTAGATCAGGCCTTACCTGAAACCATCACCTTTGGATTTTTAAAAGACAATTATTTTCACGTTATTGTTTATGCCCCTTTAGGTTGGTTTTCTATTGCTTTAAATGAAAGTATCTTAACTAATAAAGATCTCACTAGAATAGGAACCCCATAGGAGAACTCTATGAGTCTGAACTCAGTAAAATACCCTCTGATCTTTCCACCTGGGATGTGGTGGCAATCTTTAGTTTTAAAATCTAGTTATGTGAGTATGCACAATCTGATACCCTTTCTTTTTTTCTTTTTTCTTTTTTTTGAGTTGGAGTCTCACTATGTCACCCAGACTGGAGTGCAATGGCCGCTCCCAGTCACCGCAGCCTCGACCTGCTGGGCTCTGGTGATCCTTCTGCCTCAGCCTTCCAAATAGCTGGAACTATAGGTGCGCGCTACCACGCCCGGCTGATTTTTGATTTATTGTAGAGATGAGGTCTCGCCAAGTTGCCCAGGCGGGTCTCGAACCCGCTGACTCAGACAATCCACTCACCTCAGCCTCCCAAGGTGCGGGATTACAGGCTGAGCCCCCGAGCCCGGCATCTGATACCCTTTCAACCTGACTTTTTCACCCTCAGTTTCTTGTCATTGTTCCTATGTAAAAAAAAGTGTTTCCTGAGATCTTATAACTATTTCCCCTTCTTACTTTAAAAATACACTTTAGGCCAGGTGTGGTGGTTCACACCTGTAATCCCAACACTTTGTGAGGCAGAGGCAAGAGGATTGTCTGAGCCCAGGGGTTCAAGACCAGCCTGGGCAACTTGGTAAGACCCCATCTTTACCATAAATCAAAAAGTTAGCCAGGCATGGTGGTGCATGGCTGTAGTTCCAGCTACTTGGAAGGCTGAGGCGGAAGGATCGCCTGAGTCCAGCAAGTTGAGGCTGCGGTGGCTGTGAGCATGCCACTGCACTCCAGCCTGGGCAACAGTGAGACTCTGACTCTGAATAAATGAAAGAATAAATAAGCAGATAATAAATAAATAGGCATTTTAACAAGTATCCCTTAGCCTCAACTAAATTATCTTCATTCCTTTTTGCACAAAAATTAGTTTGTCCCAAATGATGCCCAATAATGGCCAGCTATCATTAAATTAGGAATGAACTTCAGCCAAAAAATAGTGGGATTAAATTATTTGCATCTGATTTTATAGAGAAAGAGGTTAGGCAATCTTTTTTTGTTTGTTTTTTTTGTTTTGAGTTGGAGTCTCACTCTGTTGCCCAAACTGGAGTACAGTGGCCGCTCCCGGCCACCGCAGCCTCGACCTGCTGGGCTCCGGCGATCCTTCTGCCTCAGCCTTCCGAGTAGCTGGAACTACAGGCGCGCGCTACCACGCCCGGCTATGGCAATCTTCAACAATATTCCTAAGGGCAATGTCTCAGTCTCATTCATCTTTCTCCCTAACACATGGCTGCATGGCAGTCAGTGTTCAATACTTGGATGCCAGCATGAATACATGAGAGTGAGTATGAAAATTATGTTTTTGAAAAAGACTGCTCAGTCGGGCTCGGTGGCTCAGCCTGTAATCCCGCACTTTGGGAGGCCGAGGTGAGTGGATTGCCTGAGCCCACGGGTTCGAGACCTGCCTGGACAACTTGGCAAGACCTCATCTCTACAATAAATCAAAAAATCAGCCAGGCATGGTAGTGCACCAAAACTAATAAAAATAGATGCCAACAACTCTAACTCCCCAGTGCTAGTTTGCAAATACCCACGTATCAGGAAGAAACGCAACAGTGAGATTACGGAACTATTGACCTCAATCGCACCATAAATTCATAATTCATGTTCACCATGAGAAAGGATGCCATGGGTACTTCAGATATGATGAATTAGGAGTCTCACTTCTGTATGGTACAACATGGTAGAAGTTCTAATACAGTTAAACAAACATAACCCATTGGGAAAAAGGGGCAAGGCTTCACTGAAGAGAAAGAGTCTTTGATTTATACAGTAGAGTTTTTGAAGGATTAAATTAACATTTGAGCCAGGGAACAATCAGGGGACCAAATTCATTGAGAATTTCAAAATACAGGACAGGTGCAGTGGCTCATGCCTATAATCCCAGCACTTTGGGAGGCCGAGGTGAGAGAATTGCCTGAGCCCACGGGTTCAAGACCAGCCTGGGCAACTTGGTGAGATCCCAGCTCTACAATAAATCAAAAAACTAGCTGGGTGTGGTGGCGTGTGCCTGTAATTCCAGCTACTTGGAAAAGGCTGAGGTGAAAGGATCACCTGAGCCCAGCAGGTTGAGCTGCGGTGGCCGGGAGTGTGCCACTGCCCTCCAGTCTGGATGACAGAGACTCCTAGTCGGGGGAGAAAAAAAAAAAAAAGAATTTCAAAATACCTTTATCAAAGGCAAAACCATTTAAAAAGATTAATTGACACGAGACTAAGAAAAATGTGTTGACCTGCTGCATCAATCAGGGTTTGAGCAGGAAACAGATGGCACCATCAAACTGGGTAATTCGAAGAGGATGTCAAAAGGAAATTATTTACAAATATGTGGGCAGGACATAGGAAAGGGGAAGAAGGAAGGTCCTGGGAACCCAGAGTGAGTGTGTGGCCACCTTCGGTGGAGGAACAGAGCCAATTCCAAGTTTCATGAAGGGAGGAAGTCAGAAGAACAGATGCTTAAACCTCATTCCCCCTCCTCCGTCTCCTGCTGACACATTCCCTTCAGATCAGCCCCCTGGAAGCTGGAGGACAAGGGGGCCAGGTGAGGTAATCTGGGGCACCAAGAAGGGTGGAGGAAGATGGAGGACAGATCAGATCCTGCGCGCAAACAAAGATACTCAGGTCACGTATATAAAGATAAAGAAGTACCACCATCTGTGTGGCTATTCATATGTTGATAGCTCCGTCTTCCTTGCTCGATTGACTTCCATGAGTCAGTCTTACTTCCTGTAACTGTCCCAGTGCCTCATACAGGGGTTGGCATATAAAAATCTCTTAATAACGATTTGTTGAACGAATGAATGAATGAATGAATACACAAAGGAGTGTTTACTTGCCTCTCTGTGGACTCTCCAGGAGGTGCCTCCATGGGAATACCTCTTCTTCTTCCACTGCAAGAGGACCATCCCTCTCTCTTGTAACAAAGTGGCACAGATATTCCTCATCAGCACGGACACCTGGGAGAGCTGGGACAGACTGATGCTGTCCAAGAACGCGGCGATGTACTGCAGAATCTCCAGGGGCAGGCTGGTTAGAGAATTCTGGCTTTTTCCTCCACGGCCCGAGAGATGGTTGCTCTTCCTTCCCTCACTCAGCTCTGGAGCAACCTCCGGCTTGATGGCGAAGGTCTCGAGCTCCTGACTGTAGATCACTTTTGCCTTTTGCCCCGGGGGACGGAAGTGGTTTTGAACAAATGTGCATCCCAAGTAGGCGAGGGGGCATCGATGCTGGAACCAGCCGTTGAGACACGACTGAATGTCTGTGTGCACGTTCTTGAAGTGCAGGGGAAATTCATCCCTCCTGAAGAATTTGTTGCAAGTGAAAGTAAAGGCAGAGCTGCTCTTGTTGTGTCTCCTCGTCACACACTCACTGTGTAGCTCCACGTGGAGTCCCCCCGGGGAGGTAGCGGTTAGGTCAGCCAGCACTGTCCCCGAGGAAAACTGTTCTGGCTCAAAGTTGTATGTCTGTGTGGCAAAATCCATGAACAGCCCATCAATGCTCCTGGATTCGGAGATGACGTGGCCTTTGAGTTCTCTTTCCAACGCACACTGGAGGGTAGTCTTGATGAGATCTGACTTGGGCAGGTCCTCCACAGTGATCCCCAGGTCTGAAGTGTCCACAGCCTTGTGTTCAGTTGGCCTACAACTCAACATGGCGTCTCCAATGCGAGCTCGCTTTCCACAGTAGCTCACAGGAACTTTGAAGGTGTAAACAGTCTTGACTTCCTGAGCCTCCAGTTTGCCATAAACAAAGTCTCTCTCCTTCGGTGTACAAGCAGGCATCTGACCAAAGTGAATAAGCATCCGCCCATTGTGCACTAGATACATATTGTAGTCTTTTGCATCCACAGCTGTTTTCAGTCTTTCCAGAACACCATCCTGCCAAGGGGCAAGCCCTGTTGTTTCCATGGCTGCCTGACAGTCCTGCGGCTTCTGGTCTTCCTGGGGCTCTTTCCCTGCGGAGGTGTCCTCTCCGTTGACCATGTCATTGCCACTGGCAATCTGTGCTTTCCCCGGGCCGTTTCTGTTCTTGCTCTCACCGCTTGCTGATGAATTTGTTAAAGCAGAGGCGGCATGCTCTTTGCTGAACATGTTTTCCCACTTGTCAAACTTGGCCAGGTCCATCCCCTCTTTGGTTTTGGCTAACGCCTCTCGTTCTTCTTGACTCAGCTCTACCATCTCCCCATGAGCTGCTGACAGACAGCCATTTGGTACCAAACCGTCATCCACTCCACCCACCACTCCTCTCATTTCCTCCAAACAGGCTTCGCCATTCACCGTTGGTTCCTCCTCAGCGGCTTCTCTAGTTTCTGGGAAAAGTTCCACCATTTTCAAGGATCTGAAGAGGATCTTCTGGTCTTGCAGGGCCAGGGCTGTGTCCAGACACTCCTCACTGGGGATCTCTTTCATGATGTTTTCATGAAGGGTGGTTTCAGAGTCCACGTTGGGCCAGCGGTTCCACTCCATGGAGCAGCAGACCACGCTGGCAGGACACACCTGCAGGTGCTTGGCCAGCTTGTGGCGGGACATGGAAAGGGGGCAGCCATACTCAGAGTTGAGGCACGGCACCTGCTCGAAAGGGCAGAGGAGCGCGTGCTCTCCCTCTTTGCACATGTGGAAGGTAGCACCACAGAGCAGGCGGCAGCTTATCACCAGGCAGGAGACGCTGGGCTCCACTGGAACGTGGCAGTGGCGGTTGAAGCATCCCTCACAATGTCTGTGCTCCCCGGGTGGGGACTTGCGTACCCTGCCCTGGACACACCAAGGGTAAAGGGAAAGAAAACAAATGAACACTGGAGAAGATGCTCTGTGGAGGTCTGTGACTGCCTCATTTATTTATTTGTAGGGGTCTCACTCTGTTGCCCAGGATGGGGTGCAGTGGCACGATCACGGCTACCGAAGCCTCGACCTCTTGGGTTCAGGTGATTCTCCCGCTTCAGTCTCCCAAGTAGTTGGGACTACAGGAGTGTGCCACCACACCCGGCTAATTTTTAAATTTTTTTTTTTTTTGTAGAGACAAGGTCTCATTATCTTGCCCAGGCTGGTCTCAAACTTCTGGGCTCAGGCAATCCTCCTGCCTTGACCTCCGAAAGTGCTACCATTACAGGTGTGAGCCCCTGTGCCCAGTGCATGTCTGTGATTATTTTAATTGACGTATTTCCTGCTTATACATGCTCGTTGTAAGAATCTTGTAATAAGCCGGGCTCAGTGGCTCAGCCTGTAATCCCGCACCTTTGGAGGGCTGAGGTGAGTGGATTGCCTGAGCCCGCGGGTT